ATGGGGGGTTACCTTTTTGCCTAGGGCCCAGCCTCGGGGCCTAGGCCCCTCCTTCTAGCCCCAAGCCAATACAGAAGCAACACGTCAAAAAGAGTGCAGCGAAGAGTTTAAGTGCTAGAGCAGTGCGACCTAGAGAACTTGAATGTATCTTGGTTTCCTCATATATGATCCACAAATTCTTCAAGTGTCTCTTAAAAGACGAACAAACGTGAATGTAGCAGTCTTTTTGACCACAGGGGTCATTTTAGAGTGCGTTTGGTTCTCTAGCAATTGGCTTGCATTCTCTTATCTTTCGAGAATGCATCAATGCATGTTTTGTTCGCGACTATTAAGTCAAGGACGGCGGGCTCAGCTCCCGGTTTCCACTTCGACATTTCGGCGCCAGTATTTTGCGCACGCGCCGCCGTATCAAGTATAGACATGTGGGAAGCTGTTTAGGCAGCTTCTGCGCCCGTAGTGGCCATGACACCCTCCGGGCCGGCCTTCTCCCGCCATGGTCGACGGGCAGCCGGGGCTCGGTTGGCACTGCTTGCCGTTCTGGGAGCCGCTTTTTGCGGCAGCCGATTGCAAAAACAGGTACCGGTACCTTTCAAGTGGGGGGCATGGAGCAACAACAGACAAGTGAGAAAGCAAGGCGTTTGAGCGGAGACTTTCCCATTTCGTTCAGGCTCGGCCGGTTCCGGTTCGGCGAGCTTCTGCGGACACTGACGGAGAGCGGCGTGGCATGCCGTGGCAGTCCTTTTACAAGGGGGGTGGGAACAGGGAGCTTGCGTGCCGCGCAGAGGAGACCCCGCCTCTTTCCAGGAAGGAGATTTGGTCCGCGTGGAGAGTGACGCAATCGAAGAGGCCTATCCAGGGGTGCTCTATCCATAGAGCGGGACGGGTTTTTTTTGCACGAACAAAGGGGGCCCGTAGTTTGAGAGACTTCCCCCGGGCGCAGAAGTTGCAGGTAGCGGTGGCCTTGGTGGTGGCGCGTCAGTGACATTTCTGCTTCGTCCAGCCCCTGGAGCAGACCGTGGAGGGCTCGCGCCGGGGCCAGAGCTACTAGAGCTTGTGCAGCGACTCCCCGTGGCGGGAGCTGCCCACTTTTAGAGGCTGGATCACATCGGAGGATTCCGAGCTGCTGCAGGTGCAGCCGGATTCCACGATGACACGTCTTTTGCACCTCGCCTCTGCCCGAGGTGCCATCCGAAGACCTCCGGCGCTGTGCTGCAGAACCTTGCGAGGCCTCAGTTGCCCCCCGTCTGCCTTCACCCGGAGAAGAAAAGTGTGTTCCACACAGGACCCGAATGGCGATGGTGAGGGCGGCTGGCGGCTTCTCTCTCCGGAGACTTAGCCGAAGCATTTACTCCGCCCCGGAGCGGATGACGGATCTCGGGCCGTGGCCCGGAAAGAACGGAAAGCTCTGGGAGGATCTGGGCGGATATGCGGGAGGCCAAAATGCCCAAGCCTGGCTTCGGCTTGAGGTCCTCCGAGACCCACGGCGAAAGCGATGCCACACGTGAAAGTGTGTCGAGAGCTGCTGATCTGTGCTCATGACAGGTGTCACCATGTTGTGAGGGTTTTTTAAGGGATGCTTTCAGAGGGGCCCGGGCCCCTTTGAGCATTCTCCGTTGCAGCCTGCAGGCTCAAGATGAGAAGGAGGTACACAAGATGGTTTTAAAAAAAGGGGGGTGAATGCATTTCGTGGCGGTGTTTGCCACGCCTTGAAAGCTGGGTGAGCAGTTTCGCCTGACACGTTTAGCAAGCCTCCAAGCCCTTTCAAAGAATAGAACTTCTAAGTTAGAATTGCTTGGCCACGGCCAGTGGCAAGACGCCAGCGGTGCCATGGCAATCGACTTTTCCCTATACATCAGCAAAAGGACGCGACTCCCCCTCCGCTTCCTGCAGCTCTCAAGAGCTGTCAGAGGAATGCGCCCTACATCATCTGGACCGTCATCGCGATAGTGCCGGCCTTTCTGCACGGTCTTCGCGACACCTTTCTCGGCTCCCCGCGCGAGCGTCGCCTTTCCCCGAAGGTCTGCGCCCTCTTCTTCCTCGTCGCGAACCGCGCCCCGAAGAAGAGCAGCGGTGCCTTGCTTGGGCGGCACTTCTTTTCTTCTCTTCGTTCTGTTGGTTGCTTCCGCCGCGGCGAAGATGGCGACGCAAGGTGAGCCCTCCTCGAAGCCTCGGCAAGAGCCTGCGACCAAGAGAGGTCTCCATTTGTTGGGGAGAGGAGAGGGAAAAAACCGAGGCGGCAGCGCAAGCGGGTGAGCGTCTCCTTGGACGGCCTGCTGCTGGCTCTTCAGGCCCGGAAACACCAAACCAGTTCACCATGGAGAACCGCAGCCCCGCCGCCGCCTCTCCTTCAAAGAGAGAGTGTCTCGGTTTCTCTCTGTTTGTGTTTGTGTGCGCGCTGTCTCTTTTCGGCAGGACAACCGGACGGCCGCCGGCGCCTCGGGCGTCGCTCCCGATGAGACGTGCCAAAAGAAGGGAAGCCGGGAAGCAACGAAAAAACAGCCCCCGGCCCGGCCCCGTCTTTCCGTTCAGCAGCTCCCAAGGTTGCCAACTTCTTGGAGCTCTGCCAGAGCTGCGAGGCCTCAGAGATCAGAAGAGCGCCCACCGACGCAGGGATTTTCGGTTATCAAGCGAAGTATCGCATTGCATCTGCCTTGTCTCGTTCTACGTGTTCTTCGACTTGTCGATTCAGACTTGAAGTTGGCCTTGCGCCTGTTCTCGCCCTTACAGTCTCTGTCAGCCTGCTCGAGCTCGTTGTGCCACATCGTAGTTGTGCACGGCCGCCTTGCCATCCAGCGCCGCTCTACACGAATCCCAAGTCGCAGAGACATCATCCCCTTTCAACGCCCCCAAGACCACCACCCCCAAACCCCCAACCCAAAAAAGAAGAAACCCTAAGGCCGGGGGGTGGGATTTGCTCCTTTCGAGCCAGGTTTTCCCAATCGCGCTCGCGGGCAGCGATGCCAAGGAGGAGGAGGCCCTGCAGAGCCCAGCCTCGAAAAGCTGCTCTCCTAGAAGAGCCCCATACAGTGTAATATTATGCGTCATGATATATATATATATATGTATTCTGTGTTGTCGAAGGAATACTGTGTGCATATATCTATATCTATATCTATATCTATATCTATATCTATATCTATATCTATATCTATATATGTGTGTGTGTGTAAGAAATACATAGCTGCGTCATGTGAACATAGACTCTATGTATGTATGTGTGTATGT